CCATGCCACCCAAATCTCAGGTCATGTTCTTCTAACTCCAAAAGCCTTCTATTTCTCAGCAATACCCACTCTTTCATCCAAACCAAACAATAAATTGCAAAATACAATTCCAAATCAGCTAAACCCAGTCCTCCTCTTTCCTTTGCATCTTGTAACACCTTATATTTAACTTGTGTTTTTTCCCCTGCCACACATCAGTTGTCAAAATAGATATTGTTCTGAAACAAAGGCATCATTCTAGTCAAGACATTCGTTTTTATCACAGAAATTCTCCCCAGCAATGACAATAGTAATTTCACCCATCTTAATGTATCTTTTTTAACTTCATTCCATGTCTTAACATACTTATTTTGAAATAACATACAATTCATGTTTGTCATAGTGATACCCAGATATTTTACCTTCTTCTCAATCTTAAAACCTGTTTTATTCATCAATTCTGTTTGATCTTCTATTTTCACTTTTTTGTTAACTTCTTTGCCTTCTGTTTATTAATCTTAAAACCTGCTAATGCACCATTTTTAAAAAATTTGCCCATTAATATTTCAATTCCCTTTAAAGGATCTTCCAAAACCAACACCAAGTCATGCAAAAGCCCTTAATTTATAAGTTTCTTTTTAAATCTTTACTCCCACAATCCTTTCATCTTGTCTTATATCTCTGTTCAATATTTCAAGACCCAAAATAAACAAGAGGGAAGACAGTTGGCATCCCTGTCTTGTTCCTTTTTGTATCTCACAGGCTTTTGTTAGATCGCTATTAACAATTATTTGTGTTTTCTGTGAAGTGTAAATCGATCTTACCCATTTTATACAGTTCTCTCCGAAATTCATATCTTCCAAAACCTTGAACAAGAAAGCCCAGTTCAAATTGTCAAAGGCATTCTCTGCATCTAAGAAGATCAGTACGGCTTGTTTTTCATTATGTTGCCCCCAATATTCCAAAATGTTGCTACAGAAAGAAGCAATAGTGAAGAACTGTAAAAAGAAATTAAAAGATTTTTTTGAAAATAAGTTAGGTAAAGGCACTGATTTAAGAATGGTTTTGGATGCAAGTAAAGCTTTTATTAGAGTTTTTTTTATACAACATAATAGTGAACTTAAAAAGAAGAGTCAAGAGAAAACACAAGCTATTTTATATT